GAGGCGAGGTGAGGCGAGGTGAGGCGAGGTGAGGCGAGGTGAGGCGAGGTGAGGTGAGTTTCGGATTTGTGTCGTATCCGAAACACGCGATAGGCGTTTTAATTTTGCAGAATCAAACGAACGAGGCCCGTAACACGGGGCTCGCGCGTTTATTTGTCGCGCGATCGAAAAATAAACGAGCTAATTTACGTTTCGATGGATTAATATTTGACATGTGACGTAATAGCGCGACGTAATAATGACCGAAACGTGCCACCGCTGCAACGCGTGCGCGCGAAACGATAAATCTTCATCGAGAAAACCACGCAGATTCGTATATAAAGCACTGGTCAAACACACACCGCAAACGCGTGCGCCGCGCTTTTCGCACGCGAAACCTGATACAAAATAGGTTGTATCCGTCCTCGACGATACGTACATAACCCGCGTGGCGCGCAACCCCTGTCATTCCGGGCGCGCGGAGCTGGTGTATAAGAAGTTAGAAGCGGAGAGGGGCGGGGGGAGGGGCAAGGAGAGAGGGGACGACGGAAGAAAGACCGCTATGATTTATTATCCCCCGCAAATTCTGTTTCTCCTCCGTGCACGCCAACTGCGCTCGCGTTCATCCATCTTTTTCCCTTTCACGGCTCACCGAGCAACCTCACCCCCTCTCCCGCTCTTGCTTGCCTCCTGTCCCCTCTTCCTCCCTTGTCGGATCGTCTCTCCCTTCGCTCGCCCTCTTTGTTCCGCGCCATCTCTCAAAGTGACTGACTGCCTCCTTTATTATCCGCTTGTCAGCATTTTTACACTTTTATCCGAAGCTCTCCCGGTGTCTATTGTTCCCGCAGCGAATTCGTACGATCACAATAAGGTCTTGAAGGACTTCAGCGCGCGGATCATTGACGTGGTGTCGTCGGTTCTGTAGTCATTTGACGGTGTACCGCGATTTAGAATGATCGCGATTCAATGCGCCGAATCAACCGGAAATAGATCGCCGAATAACGAGATTCATATTTGTTCTCAGACTAGCTGGTTGATATCTTGAATATCTTAAAGGGAAAGCTTAAGCGCTTTTGTGACTTGCGGGAACCAAAAGAATGAATAATACGTACCGTGTATCTGGGCGCGTAATGTATTTTCTGCAAAATGACACAGAAAATCATCCGTGTCATGGTACTTGAGCTTTGTCTTGACGTTTTATAAATGGCCGTATATCCCGGAATCCCTAAAGTCACTGTAACATAAATTCTGGATTCGTTCACGTTTCAAGTTTGATATATTAGCGAGAAGAAAGCAGTTTCATATATATTTAAACTTAAAAAATGAATGCTTATAAAAAAAGGTATTTTAGGTATATTAAAATTATGTTATTTTTATATTGGAAAAGTTTGAGAAAGTAGATAAACTTATATTTTTTTCCGTAGCTTTAGCTGAAAGGACTTTTCGATAACTTTAACGGAATAATCTTTTCAAATGGATTTGATTTATTGCTATTCGTTAAATTACTTTTGAGTTATTCAAACAACTTATGAACATGTAATCGGTATAGTTTTTCGAATGTCTGCTTTTTTTTTCAGGCTTATAAATTTCCTTTATACCTGTTATATTTTATATCTGTAGGTAGTTATTTTTCTTGTTATCTTTCTTCCATTTATTCGGAAAAATTCGATATTCTGACGTTTCGTTTGACAATGGCACATTATGGTCTTGTCAACAGATTGTACAAGAAGAAACCGTAAAATAAGTTTATTGCAGTACTTATCCTAAGCGTGCCTAATAGAGATGTTTGAGTTGGACGAACAATTGCTTTTAGACACAAATGCCTTTAGATCTTATTCTTATCTTATTCTTAGCATTTTTTTTATTAGGAAGTAATAAATATTGACTCTTTTCAAAGAAGTATTTGTGTTTGAGAAAGTAACTTTAAACTTTATAAAAAGTGCTTTGCAAAGAAAACTAGATCAGCGTATCAGAAAATAGAATACGTATGTAGTTTGCATAAAATATTGCAAAAAAATGTTTGACGTTTAAATCACATTCGTGCACAACACATACGTATCATAGTAAAGAAGTAAAATAGTTGATTTAACCAGTAGAAATTCGAGTGATTCGAATGATTCATACATTTTAGATATTACGAACAACTTTTATCGTTGCATAACCGTTGAGCTGCGTGTAGACAAATATCATAAAAAAATATCTCGTTTGCATAAGACCAATTAACCTTGCTTTAAGTAGTAATAATTGTGATATACTGCCTTCACTGATAAAGCCTATCGTGGCCATATAACAACGATTCGATCGTGAAAAGAGATCCTGTCAACATAATTTACAGTAGCATTGAAACGCAACGTACATTCAACGTACATTAAGCCAAGAATCATTACGAATGTACTTAATGTCGGAGTTTGCTCGGTAAATATTGTTTATAATAGGAGCTTACGCCAGTGATCGGATCGAATCCGTCGAGAGACGGCCGATGACTCTAAATCTTTTGTGGCGGGGGCGCGAGGGGACGTACAGTCGAAGATGAAAGAGAACTATATTAGCCGTAAACTCATCCGTCAGTGTCAAAACGTCAAAGAATCGTCTTCGGGATATTAGCGGCGCCGTAACAGCAGACAGCTCACGCGCGAGCTGTGCTGCCGACTGTTGTCCTTATTTCTTTCTTTTTTTAGAAGACTAAAGGCAGACGACAGATACGATATTGACGTTCAATAGAAACGGAAAACTCCTTTAAAGTGATTGATATAATTAAAAAAAAAAAAAAAAAAAATGCACATGCAAAGTACGAGTTTCTACAAACAAAAATATTTGTTTTCAAAATAATTTTTGAAACGTGTTTATTAAAGAATATTCTTTCATATCATTGATATATTTATTATTATAATATTAATAATATATTTATTATCGTTATTGATTGGTTATTATTGTTATCGCTCTTTCAAACAGTCCGTAATACGATAGTATCTACGTTAGATATTACAATAGACGGTAAAAAAAAAAAAAAAAATAGAAAGGGGATTTTTCCTCTTATGATCGTGTAAGTAAAGGCTGGTGATTCAGGGAAAATTGATAGCACGATTACAAATTATTTCTCGATGCACAAACAAAAGTAACGTTCACACATCGTTACGTATTTCTGTTCACGGTTTGTATTATAATAGTTAATGATACCGAGAATGTTATAATGAATTCCAGTGTTAAATTACAGTCGACATACCTATATGCATTTCTCAGATACTGTTTGGTTGCATTCCTGCGCGAAGTGCTCCCCGGGGTAATTATTGTTTACCGCGGGTATGCGGTCTACGTAGCGGGCGTGTGGATATCGTCATAATTCGTCGTAATTACCTTGTAACATAGTTACTTCATCGATCGCTTTATCTTGCTTAAGCCGTACTTAGCGGAATGGCCATAATCGCCTAACCGCGGAGCGGTTTGAGTTCCAACGAGGTCCGATAGTCAAGCTCTTTAATGACGGCCGTATCGCCCGTCAAGCGGACGCGTATGATGCGTGCCTGGCTGGCGAGCGCGTAAATGCGTTACACGCGCGCGAGTGCGCCGAATACGTATTTTGCGCGTTTCACTCCGCGCGAGATTATATTGCAATAATATTTGCGGGACGGAGCAATGTGTGCAATGAATTGAAATGAATCATCAGAAGGAGATCGTTCGTATCGATAAGTAAAGCTATTTGTAATTAATTTCGTTCTAAATAATGCATATCGACAATAATACATACACGGTACGTGTACGGTAAAAACGGACACGAGATTGCTATTTATACCATCCAGCAATTTCCGTATTCTAAGATTTACGAGAGATATTTTTTTTTTTTTTTATTCGAAGCGCAACACCACACTCGACTGTATTTGATGAAATCGCCGTGCTCCCGGATCGAAGAGCAGGCTAAACTCATCACGGGCTGGCGGTGATTATCTGGTATCGATGAGTCCGAGGAGCAATCTGTGCGAGACGACGAGATAAAGAGAGTGGCACGCAAACGCCGAGAGATCGGTAGCCACGAGGCGTTAAGTACCGGATGACTCAGTGCGCGGCACCGCGGTCGGGGGACCGGGGCGATAATTAAAACGCTTTTACAAAACTGTAGGCAAACAGCGCTTAAGTGGCTGTCATTCGTTACCCCGTGGGGCCGCGGCAAGTCGGTAAGTCGCTGAGCGAGCAATCAATCACCCGACCCGCGCTCCCCTACCCCCGGCGGCCCATTACATTTCTATTTTGAAAGCTGCTTATTAAGCGGGGCCGGCTGGAGAGACAGACAGGTTTCACGGTATAAAATATCGGGTTGCCGTGGTGGCAGGAACGACGGTTCCGTGTCGTGGCAGCTATGGTAGCTCCAGCGCGGGAGGGTAGCGGGGGAAGAGCGACCATGGCATGGAGAAGGAGAGAGAAAGAGAGCGAGAGCGAGACAGACTGACGGAGAAGGGGCTGGAGGGGAAGGAGAGGAAAGGGCGGAGGGGGGAACTCTCGTCGGTCGGGCGAGCGGGGAGGGGGATGGACGGCTGTAAAAGCGGTGAAATATCAAAGCCGGGATGGGAGCTGTCATCGTCGGGCCAACATCATGGGTGGCGTGTTGAATTAGAATGCCTTCCCACACCCCACGCAGCACCGCAATTCTCCCACCATAATGCCATCTCCCCCCCCCCCCTCCCAGCCTGTGCCGAAGCAAGGTGGTAGGGATGACAGGAGAGGACAGGTTATACACCCCGGGTCGCGTCAAGGATAGGGGAGCTAGGAGGGTAGGGGGAAGAGGGGATATTCCGAGGAAGAGATTCTCCTTGTATTCCGCCAGACGGCGCGAGGATCGGAACACGGTTCGGAGCGCACGGAGAGTGAGCTGCTCGCGCGAGCCGTCATTATTTTCCTGGATTTTGTGGTGTACGCGTCGACGGTGTATTGCGTCAGGATACGGTGACCGCGCGAGGTGATCGATTCTCCCGACGGAGGCGCAGTCTCGACGCGGCGTGTCCGCGGATCTCCCTCGTCGCTTTCTCTCCTGTCGGTCGAGCCCGACGCGCGAGCCAAACGCACGGTGTGTAAATACCCCGTTGGTTGATTTAAAGTGCAGTGAGAGTAATCAGTGGGAAACCAAATGGTTGTGCTCGAGGAAGGCAGTATGCTGACTACTGGACACAATCAGTATTTACAACCGGATTATCTTTCGCCGCTTCCAACTACGGTTAGTAGTCTGTGTGTTTTCCATTATATTTATTTTCAAAATTTTTCCGTTCTTCTTCCCATTTTTTTCGACGAAAAATATGGTAAAAGAAGAAATTTTCACGTTAGAAATATGTATTATTATGAAAAAAATTGAAAGTCAAAAGTCGTGATACTTTTTTCTTTTCACTATTTTCCACAAATTCTAGTAGCATCGTACCCGTTTGTGTTCCGACGGAGCTTGAAGGATAGAATAACTAGAATAATTATCGCATATTATTAGCTTCAATCGAATGCGCGATTCATTTTCTTCATCGATGTGAAAAGTACGAGTGCAAATTTTGTGTAATAATTCTTAGAATTTTGTTTATAATTTCGCTTTTTTGGGGATTACAGTTGGACGCGAAGAAAAGTCCGTTGGCGCTATTGGCGCAGACATGCAGTCAAATCGGGGCGGATTCGCCTACAAAATCGTTGATCTCGCCTTTGGAAAAGAGCTCGAAGGGTATGAGCATCGCCACGAACGCGAAATCTCCGCCGGCCACGAAATTGGAGCGCAACACGCGCGGCAGTCCGACGGACGGCGGCAAGTCGCTAGCGTTCAAACCCTACGAGACCAATGTCGTGACGAAGAAGACCGCGGATGAGGGTAGGCCCGCATCCAAAGCCAGTGTGCACAGTGTTAGTGGTCAGGATAGTGTCAGTGTTAGTGACAGCACGCATCCCGACAAAAAATCGTCCGGCAATCGTACGCCGGTGAGTCGAAAATCCGCGTCGCCGAGCAGCCAAGCGACGGCAACGACGACCAGCGGCGGCACGCCGTCGGTAGACCGAAAGACCCCGGCCGACCGTGAGAAGACCGACGGTTCACCGCGTAGCAGCAACGGCAGTAGCCACAATAACAACAGTGGCAGCGGTAGTAACAACAACAACAACAACAACAACAACAACAATGGCGCCAGCCCGATTATCAGATCCGGAATGGAGATTCTCTCCGGCGCGCACACAAAGGATGGCGCGAATCTGGCCGCCTACAAACCGGGTCTTCCAGGATTCTCCGGCAATCCGCTGTGCTGTCCACCGGGTCTCGCGGAAAATCCAGCCTTCAGGCCGCCCTTTGCCGGCGCGTCGCCCTTCTCGCATCACGCGGCAGCGCTTTTATCCGTCGGCTATCCGTCGACCGGCCCTACCAGCGGTAATCCGTACTTGAGTTACGCCCGCGTCAAGACCCCGGCCGGCGGTGAGGCCCTGGTGCCAGTTTGCAAGGATCCCTTTTGCACTGGCTGCCAGTACAGTATGCACAGCGCGCAGATCATGATGGGCGCGGCGGGCAGCTGTCCGAGCGGTTGTACACAGTGCGACCATCAGAAGTACGGGCTGGCAATGGCGTTGTCGTCTTTGGGCCCGATGCCGCCACCGTCGTTGTCCTATCCGTCCACACTGGCCGGCGGCCGGCCTTACGTCTGCAACTGGATGGGCGGCGAGTCGGCATATTGCGGCAAACGGTTCGCCACGTCGGATGAGCTGCTCCAGCATCTACGTAGCCACACGAGCCTGACCGGCGGCGACCACGCGGCAGCGGCGGCGGCGGCTTCGGCGGCGGCGCTCCTCGGCAATCCGCATCCGCTACTGTCACCGTCAACCACTCTTCATCGCGCGAGCGGTGGCTCCTATCCGGCTCCGTCGTTGAGCCCGCTGGGTGCCCGATATCATCCCTACGGCAAGCCGCCGACGGGTCCGCTACCGGCCTCGCTCGCGGCCTCGCCGTACAGCGCTTTCAACGCCTTAGGACCGTATTACTCGCCGTACGCGGTTTACGGACAGCGAATCGGCGCCGCCGTACATCCCTAAGCTGGATATATCGCGGAGGGGCAGGGGGAGAGAGAGGGGTACCATGTGACGACAGTAGAATCTTTCGGAGGGAGCTCTTCTCGTTCTCCTCCCTCCTACTCCTCCCTGTTCTTTTTCTCTCAGTGTACAGTTGCAGAATGTGTGCAAAAATGATGAATACGCGAACTTATACGATAAGCTGCTGTCTGAGACTGTTGTGTAAATAGCCACTGTGTACAATACAGATTTATTTAAAAGAATTCTATATATATGTATATATAAATATAAATATATGTGTACATTGAAGATTATGATTAAAGTTTATGAAACAAAACTCGACACAGTGTTAACGTTGCATCGCGAGACCACACTCTCTCGCGGAATCTTCTATGGTACGAGTAATACGCATCTCTATTAAAATCCGGTTACCATGTAGGGGGAAGGATAAGGATTACGTGCCAGGTGTAAGTTAATATTGTCGCAACTGCTGGAAAACGAAAATACAAAAAAGCCTCGCGCGTTTTACGCGGGATTCAAGAACATTTCCCGATTTTGCGCTCCTGTATCTCGTATTATTCGAGATTTTTCGACGGTCGCGCGACAATGGTAGCCTCCCCCCTCCTCCCCCTCTCCCCCCCCCCCTCAACGAGGGCTTCGTTATCATAAAACGTCATCCTCGCGTTTTACAGGCGTTTTCATTCGGTTATTCGGACGGTTGTACGGACGTATGATGATGACGCTCTGTGAGGATTGCAAAGTGCGTAATGCTGCTATTATGTATGTTTTTCCCGACGCTCCGGCGCGCAACGCGCGCGAGCCTTCTTCGTTGCTAAAATGCGTTCGATAGCGCGCGATCGCGCCCATAATTCTATGTCCACGATATAACTGTGATATTACGCTACTCTTTTGAGAAAACGAACGAACGAGAAAGGGATATTATTAACGAACTTGTCTAGAAAACGTGTCTCTCCGAGGTAAAGATAGAAAGATGGTTGTAATTTATCATCGCTAATTGTGTGTAAAGGCACACAAGTGCCGAGTGTCGTTGCAGAAAACGAAAATAAAATTGATCCGCAAAGAATCTGTTTTATCGTTTTCTTTTCGAAATTCGATGACGACGCAGAGGGATGATTCTCTCGGTCTATATCGGGGAACGTATCGGATCGCATCGTAACGTCACATTGTCGTTTCGCATTGTCGAAATAAAATATATTCTAATAAAAGAAGAAGAACAACAGTGGTGTTGTACGATACGCATTGTAAATATCTCTTGTAAATATCGTTGAGTTTCCATATCGCTTTAATAAAAACAATGTTTGTAGAATTATTTAATCCTCTTCTATTTATATATTGTGCCTTTTTTACTATATTATTCTTTCGTTTAATCCGATTCCTTCCTCTTTTCCGCTTGGCGTTTCGCAATTACCGTTTCCTTTTATGTAACTTGGCACGCAACTTTGTAGAGGTCGATATTTACGTTCAGATAATCAAAAAGAAGAAAAAAGAAAGGAAACATAATTTCTTATGTATTTCAATTTTAGCACTTGTTTGTTCTCAAAATACACGTACTAAATACGTACTAACCTCAAAGATATCAATTATTATGACATTTAGTTTTGATTTGTGCTTCTAGCGCGTTTTTTTTTCCCTTTTACCCACGTGATATAAAAATCAGTCTGCCTGGTTTCGCTGACCTGTTACGATCTCCGCTCGTCAGTCATGCTTGACGGATAATTTATCAAACGCACTTCACAATCTGTCATTCACTGCCAACGAGGCGTAGTTTCTTACATGTCCAAAGCTATTATTCGTCTACGTTGAAGCCTCGTAGAGAAATTTCAGATAGCTTTTAAATATTTAATCGTACATCATAGCGCAGTTCCACTATATAAACAATTAAGATAATTATTTTTCGTGAATCGGCTGTGCGCTTCAAGCTATCCATCTGGAAAACTCTATAAAATATATAATACTGATTACATCCTTTCATTTATTACTCATTTCCTTCTTATCTCGCAAGTTAAACAACTTCGTGTAGCGTTTCACTCAGACATGGAATGGTATCACAATCAATCATTCCATCATGTTGTTAATCATTGTCAATAGTCGTACTGATTATGAGTAATCTGCTTATCATTGTGTGTCTTAATTATTCATCTTGGGAACTTAATGTCTTTCATACACGCACAAATACACGTTATTTCCTTCCTTTGTACGAAATAATGGATAGCTCAATTATTAAGTTCGTCTTGGAGAGAATAGAAAAATTAATGTACCGTGTCCATAATTTGACGTGACTAATCTATCTAGAAGAATAAAATGAAAAGATGTGAGGGACAAGTGAAAAATTCAACGTTTGTGATATAAATCTCAAGGGTGTCAGCGTCCTTTTTTTGGTATAATTACTAATATTCTTTTTCTTCGTTCAGGATCCTTTTTCTCTTCTTTTGTTCTCTTTCTCTTTCTCTCGTCCATTGTATTTATACGTATTACTATATAGGCAAAGTTGCAAAGTGGAATACATTACATCTTTGAGTTACTTAAATTCTGGTAACTCAAAGACACCGGATCTGGCGACAAAATTCTTAAATTCTTAAATTGTCGGTCCTTCTTCCGCTAACATCGTCAGAATACGGAACGTCGCGTCCGTGTGCGCATACGAACGGCGAGTCCCAATCCCTGGGGCACCCCCAGAAGAGTAAATTTATTTCTTTCATTACGGACGGAGCGGGTCGTGAGCTCTCGGATATCAGCGCTGCAAGGCGGGGCGCATAAATCTGCAGCCTAGTGTAGAGAAGGGGACGAGTGACGGGAGAGAGGGGAAGAGACAGAGCGAGAGGGATGTGGGTGGCAAACCGTTGGTTTCTAGAGCCGGTGGCTCTCTCTCTCTCTCTCTCTCTCTCGTGGTAGTGTG